TAGGCCACAACGCCCCCGCTGGAGCGGGTTGAGGGAATGGGGGCCCACGCCAGGACTGAAGGAGGGTGCCACCTGCTGAAGCGGACTGAGGGAGCCCCCTCAGTTCCTGACGCAAGTCAGCATATCCAGGACAAGGGGACGCCTGCTTCCCTTTTTGGACCGTGCCCCGTGTGGTTGCAACAGTCCTTTTGAATATCACTTCCTCTTCTGAGCTTTCTGAGTCCAATCCGGAACTCTCAGAACTCTCCTGAGGGTCAGGCTTAACGGGAGGGCCATGAAGGCCAAACTCAGTGGGAGGAGCGGACGTTTCAGAACATTCAGAGCGGGCCTTGTCAAGGGTCTGCCTAGCCAAGTGGAGCTCAGAAGCGTCCTCATTGGCCAAACAAGCTCTGACCAGCTCCCACAGGGGCAAATCCATAGGGTCCAACTTGCCCATAGCCTTAGCACCTAGCAGGTCCCTTTTTAACTTCTCCCATGATGGGAGGGTCAAAGAACCTGTGGACCAAAACCAGGGCGCCAGATCATTGATATGGTCCAAAAAATGAGACACGGTGCCTTGACTGATCCGTATGCCGCGGAATTTGAGCAGTACCCTCAGTGAGGCGGCAAGGGGTTTGTGGGCTGCATTACCCATGACATTAAAAGTGAAAGTGCAAAAAACAAGCAAAAGGGGAACACGAGCGGCGTCTGTATGGAAGACGCTTTAGAGTTTGTCGGGTGCGTCCACCCGACCCAGGTGACCCAGTACTCACCTGATCTAGGTACCTATCCGCTGTATCATGTGTAGCTGACCCGGGGTGTCGAGAAGAGACACTCCAGGTCCTCTGTTGTTATTAGACCAAATTTTTTCACTGCCAGTAGACTATGACGGGGAATGTACCTCTGTGTCACTTGGCCAGAGTGAGCACAGTGGTAGATTAAAGCAGGTCCCCGTACAGGCCACCAGTTGTTCAGTGCCGTATCAATAAGAGTCTATCACTTGTGGGTCAGCTCTCAGTATTTATTGTGTACAGCGCAATTGGATCTAACAAG